ACTGTTCATGGTTTAAAGATAAACTATCTATAAATACAGTTGTATCTTGTATAGGAAATAAAATACTATCAAACTTAACTAAATAGCAAGAAAATATTGTATACTATCTAAAAAAAGAAAAAAAGGAGGAGGAACATATTGTATACTATGTGTTTATGAAACATGAAAGCACATATACAAAAAAGTATTAACCCTCAAAGACATTAATTCTCAGCTAAGTAAAACATATTTTTCCTTCAATTACTTCATAGTGGGAGAGGCAACGAACAAGAAAATTAAGCAAATTTTGAGATATTGTTGAAGGTGGAAATTTTACAAAGTAATTGGTACATGATCTACCATTTTTGGGCACAGGGTCAGTTATTCTTATTGTAAAACTAGCAGTATTCTACAAAAAAAAAATATTATGCATTTTACATTCTCTTCATTTAAAAATATGACAAAAACTGTCTCATTTGATCCCTGGGCACCTCTTTTAAGTAAAAAATTAAACTGATAAGAAGATCTGTCATTACCAAAAATTAAATCAGATATTTCATGAATTGGTTGAATTACAAAAAAAGTCTGTAAATGAACTATCTTTTAACTAGTTTTGGATGAAAAATTATTTGTTCAGTTGACAAATGATAAAAATATAAAAAAAGAAAAGAAAAAGAAATGATGTGTCAATTTTACAAAAATAACTTCACAGATCCTTCAATGAATACAAGAAAAAATTGCAACTGTCATGATCACTGACCACAAAAAAAAAAAATATTCCATTCTTGGCAAATTTCAAAACTTCTGCACCAAAATACCAGTTTAAAATTATTAACAGATCTTTAACATCTTCAACGTTTGGCATCTGAAATCTCGGTTTGAGAAATGAAATCCATGAACATTTATACATTTCTTAATATGTAGTCATCACAATTTCTGATATGGTTATATCATCACAGTCTACTAGGAGAGGGTTGCTGAGTTTTCCCCCTTTGTTAATACTGAGTTGCAGTTACCGTACAATAATACCTTTATTTCTTAACAGTAGTATCAGATATAGACTTTTACTATTGAACTTTTCTATTAGGCCAGCTCAGTCATTTTGTATATTTGGTGTGTAGTTCACATTTAAAAGTTTGTTTGTATATTTGGTCTGTTGATCCCTCGCTTTTAGAAGCTGGCATATTTCCTGTATGAGTCGATGGGCGGGTTATACATCTGATTATGTCGATCCAGGCTTGGACATGCTCTCCAGAACATTGAAGATCCTCTATTCAACTCACCCTGCATAGATAAACAAATATTATATTTCAAGGCTTTTAACCCCTTAAAAACATTTGAAAGGCATTTAAATCATTCTTTTATTTTTATTGTGACACGATAGTGGTGTTTTTCTTTGAAGTTTACTGTTCTGTATTAGCAATACAGAACAGGACTTTGGTGGGCGGAGCTACTTTCCATTCTGTATTAGCCAACTATTCTGTACCTACAATACAGCACGGCCTAAAAATAAATCTGATTCAATTTAGCAAAAGCACGTACAAATAGTACGTGTAAATGCTGACGTTTTCCTATTGTAAATTTTAGAGAAATACCCAGTAGTAATCCTGAAAATGTAAAATGTCAAAATTTCTCATTCACTTTTTAAAAAACTTATTCCACACAGAATCTACGCAAATTCGCAAATTTCGAATAACATAATCTGTAATTTCGATCCAAACGAAAAGAAAATTTGCAAAAACAGAAAACATCCACTCTCCTCGGGCAAAATCATTCAAGTCCATTTATCGCGTTTTAATCCTTTTTCGACAGCCACACGTCTCTTTCACCTCGTTTTAATGTCGCAATTCAATTAGAAAATAAAAATCCGTGATATCAAAGTCCATCGAAGAATTTTCTGTAAATCCTGTTTTTGTAAATCTAGTTAAACCGGGATTTTAAGACCACTGAAATATATTATAATCAATCTGCATCTATAGATCACAACAATGACGGTTAAATCCTCCACTTTATCCATTAAGACTGACTTTACTCGATTACGTCTACCCCGTTAAATTGTCAAAACTAATCTGACCGAATTTTACGTTTTCCGTGGAAATATATACATTTATTTCCTATCTAGCTTGTAACACGAGCTTTGATTGGTTACAAAGTCGGGTGTAAATATCCGTGCACCCGACTTGAGCCGGGTGTAAATAAACGTGACGTCACAATGCATACATTCTCTATGATAAAAGCTAAAAATCATGTTTACAAAGCATTTTTATGGGTACAAAGGAAATAAATTCGTTATCCAGGTCCAATCAAGGGTGTACGGGGATTTACCCCGGGTTGTATGCCATACAACACCCTTCGGCCTTCGGCCTCAGGGTGTTTGGAATAAAACCCGGGGTAAATCCCCGACACCCTTGATATATACTGCGGATGCATACTCCCTGTCGGGGCCTCATCTACAGACACTCTGGCGGAAGTTTGGATGCTGCAAAGTTATAAAGTGGGCGGAGTATTTTTGATTGATCGTGTCACAAATCATTTAGAGAACTCGACAGGTTCTGTATCATACATACAAATTTGGGAGTGGAGACTCGTGCTTACGCACTCGTCCACCCCCAAATTTGTACCTACGATACAGAATCCGTCTCGTTCTCTAAATAATACCAACAATGGTGAATAACAATAATAATGTGTCTTTTATGACACATACTTTCCAACATGAATAAATTATAGTAATGGCAATGTAAAGTATATGACTTTGTATACTACTAACAGTCTCATTCTTTTTGAGACAATATTATAAACTACAATGCTCAGTTTTTTTAGACAAGATATGACCTACAATTCTCAGTCTTTTTGAGATGACATATGACCTATAATACTCACAGTCTTTTTGAGATGGGATATGACCTACAATACTAAAAGTCTTTTTGAGACCAGATATGACCTACAATTCTCTGACAGTCTTTTTGAGATGAGATATGAACCTACAATTCTCAGTCTTCTTGAGATGAGATATGACCTCCAATTCTCAGTCTTTTTGAGATGAGATATGGAGTATAATACTCACAGTCTTTTTGAGATTGGTCCAGCAGTCTCGCCAGTCTGCGTAGTAAATCATATAGGGAGGGGATGCAGCTGCCAAACTATAAATAGTTACATTAATGTAGTCAACGATTAGCCAATCTATAAATAGTAACATCAGTGTATAGTAAATCATATGAGGGGAGGCAACAGCCAATCTATAAATAGTAACATCAGTGTATAGTAAATCATATGAGGGGATGCAGCTGCCAATCTATAAATAGTAACATTTATGTAGTCAACGATTAGCCAAACTATAAATAGTAACATTAAGGGACTCCGACCCTCAACCAAAAAGGACAACTCTTTAATTTATAATTTAATTCAAAAAGTCTTTAAATGAAGCTTGAAAATTAAATCTTTTCATGCAACAATTTTCATTATATGCTTCTCAATGTGCTTCAAGGTTCTTTGAACTTCTCAGAAAGGTCTCATTAAAAGTAGAAATTTTTATCCCGAAAAAGCATTTTTAGGTACCAATGTTTATTAACATGATATGAAATTAGAAGTGATTTATGGAGCTTTGCAAAGAACCTTGAAGCACATTGAGAGGCATATAATGAAAATTGTTGCATGAAAAGATTTAATTTTCAAGCTTCATTCAAAGATTTTTTGAATTAAATTATAAATTAAAGAGTTCTCCTTCCTGGCTGAGGGTCAGAGTCCCTTAATGTAGTAAACAATTAGCCAATCTAAAAATAGCAACATCAGGGTATAGCTAATTATGGGGGGGGGGGGGGGTGCAGCCATCAAACTATAAATAGTAACATAAATGTAGTGAACGATTAGCCAAACTATAAATAGTAACATCAGTGTAAATATATATACATTGTACTATTAATGCATAGTCAGTTGTAAGCTAAATGTAATATTCTATTCCAATCTGTAAATTGTAACATAAGCGTATAGTCAATCATTTATTGGATGAGAAGCAGCCACCAATTTTTAAATAGTAACATAACACTATTGGTCAAAGCCTATTCTTTTAATGACACACACACATACAGAAGAATGAATATGGGAGTGGTGATTATAATTATAAAGTAGTAACAGTTTTAGTTAGGTCATCTTTTAAAAAAATGTTTGATATTCCTCTCAAGACTGACTGAATAAAAAACTTTTCATTTACCTTCCAGGGGCCCGTTTTACTAAAGAACTTATGACTAAGACCCAATATTTTAGTTGATTTTAAAATTTGTAAAATTAATTAACCTGTTTGAAATTGCTAGCATAAAAATATCTTAAATTCTTTATAAAAAGATTAAAACAATTTTCAAATCAATGTAAAATAAAAAGTTATGCGTAAAATTAAATTTTTGTCTTAGTCGTAAGTTCTTTTGTAAAATGTGCCCCAGGATACAATATTTTTTTCTTTTTGTTCATCTTACCCTGTCAACAAATATGTTGAAATTTTCTGGAAAAAAAAGATTTTCCCACCTACCTACTGACCCAAAAAATTTACCCTGAATCGGAAGAAAGCCAAACAAAATTATTTTAAAGCTGACCTTACAGCATTAATTATTTAGATACACTGAGAGCACCTGCCAGGAGACATTCCTTACCCAGAGTTGTTGACACACATGATTCTAGAGACCAAAACAAATGGGTAGGTGATCTGAGATACAGCAAACTATCAAATAAAATGAAAAGTTATCAGAATAATTGTATTTCTAAGTACACATATGTATAAAGTAAATGAGAAAATTATGACATTCTGATGTCAAGTGTAACAAATTTCACTTTCAGTAATGGTCTATTTGTCTACAGATTTGAAGACTTCATTGAATTTAACATCTCTTCCTTAATCCAGATATGATACTTACATTACAGGCCACTGTTGTATAGGATTTATATTCCTGTAAAATAAATAACATGTGAGTAACATTGTATTAATGCAGTGCTAAGTCTAAGCAAACTATCAAAGTATCAGTACTTCAATTGGGAAAATAATTCAGAAACAAAATACTGTAAATACTCGCGTGTGAGAAATATTCGCGAGTTTCACGAACGACTTAAACTTGCAAGAATTAATCGCCCTGAACAAATAATTTTGATTAGTATTTGTAAATAATGTTTCCTCTGTCGCTAAAATTAATCATTGCAAACTGATTTCAACTGGACGAATCATAAATAAAAGATGACGCGAATAATAGTTGGTTTACAGTATATAATGATTTTGAATTTCACCACTATTTTTTAACATAGATGGGATGCATGGGGAGTGGATTCATACTTTGCTGAAATCTGAGATAAAGTATGTAACATATATTGTATTGGCTTCTCCTATTAATATCTACCTTGTTGTCAGATAATTAATGATAAGATCTAAGATGAAATTCATAAGATATAATAATGGTTTCTATTTCTATTCCTACCTTGTCATCTATCAGGTATTCATTGATGAGATCTGAGATGAAGTTTATAAGACATATTGTAATGGCTTCTCCTATTAACCTTGGTACAAGGCCACTAGAAAACAAAATGATACAAATTCATTTGAAATTATGGATTTGATTCATTTAGTTCTCATTTTCTACTTTTCACTGACATTTTACAGAAAAAGAAAAACTCACGCATAGAACCCGGAAAAGCCTTCTATTCTGTAGATTTCTGATATCGATGAAAATATGTTACTAAAAGTAAAAAAAAAACTGATTTTAATCTGACTCCCGTTTATTTAGAACATATCTTTACAAGATACATGATAATTTTCTCCTTATAATTCATCATTTCTATTGATAATAATTGTTTTGGTAGAGATGGCTTACATTTTATAACTCTAAATAATGAAATTCAGGGTAAACTTTCAAAACAAACTTAAATTTTAAAAAGATTCATGTCAATGTTGTAAACCTAATGATCTGTACTTAATAAAAATTAAAAGACATTACTTGTACATGGTTTCTTCTCCAATAAACTGAGCCATGGTTCTAATTGCAATAACTAAAAAAAATCAAATCCATTATGTTTTGCTACGAAATTATTCTGTGATGACCAATTTCACTGACAACGCCACTTAAATCTGATCATGAGTTTTAACATCCTTGTTTACATTACTCTCTGTACAGGGACCAACCTAGACCCAAAATTTAGGAAGACTTCACTTCTCCCTCAGAGAAATTTAGGGAGAAGTTTTGAAATATAGGGAGACTTCTTGGCACGCATGACACCCACTGCTCATATTAAAACTTTTTAAAAATGAAACTATTTCTTTGTTTCAAACTTAAAATACATTTCAATAATTTTTTTGTATTGAAATCCTAGTAAAAATAATTTAAAAAAGGGAAAAAGAATCTGATTTTTTTTCCCCAATTACAAGATATATCTAGCAAAAAAAAAAAAAAAAAAAAAAAATCCAAAGACATTGAATGTAAAAGTTTTTTTTTTATTTCTTGCATAATATGCACAATTAACTTTTAAATTCTATCACATTTTAAATTTTCAGCCTCATTGCAAAGTCATTATTATTTTCTCTTCAAAATTTGTTTTCAATACATGCATACATACATATGTATTAATTTTTTTCTGAAAAAAGTTTTCATGTACATGTACTATGTACAAAATGCTGATTAAACTCTGTATATCAGATGTGTAATTTGTTAGACGGTCAATAACTCCACAGATTAACAGTAAAAATGTGTCTGTATTCACAGCATGAATTAATTATTTGGCAATAAAAAGATCTAAAATCATCTTTAACATCTTTGGCATGACATCGGTAGCTGACCAGCTGTTTTGCGCCTGGTTGTACTTAACTTGTAGCAATGGACTTTATCATACCCGGAAGCGTAAAATCCAGAGGAGTTCCGACAGAGTATTCGATGCATTGGTCATTGGTAGCGTAACAGGTGCAAGTGTTGTGCTGTTTCATTTATTTCAGCAGTAATAAAACAAGATTTATAAACTACTGATGATTCTACCATGTTTCTTTATAGATTTTTTTACGATTTTCAATAAAGGGTTTGTAAATGTTAAGGTGACTTAAACTTCGCTTTCATGATAAATTATGGCGAAGTTTGGAGCCCAAAAGCGACTATTTCGCCTCAGTCGCCCCCTAGGTTGGTCTTTGTCTGTAGAAAAAATTTAACAAAATCTTTTCTGATAACAAATTAAGGTTATAGCAATGTTAAACCTCTGTTGACAGAGTAATAAAGAGATCAAGAAGTTTTTATATGACCTCAGATGCGCTAACTAAGGATTAACAATAAAATACATAACAATATTCTTGTTCATGTAACTGTGTAGTATTAAACACAAATTTAAAATTAAGAATGACTCACCAAAACCTACAATTTGTTTTTTTCATACCTTGAAATGGATGACTACAGAAAATGGCAACACATTTAGCTGTCACTTCTCTTGATGTCTGAAATTAGATTATAATAATTTTTGTATGGCACATTAAAAATGACATACAGACAAGTAAATTATTTCATTTCTCATTAAAATCTAGTTGTAAAATTAATTGAACACTGTATCTTTTTACCTTAATTCCAAAATGTCTTAGAAATACGACAAGTTCCGAGCTTTTTTCCTCTTCCTCTATTGGAAACTGTTTCTTAAGTTCCTACAATCCACAAGTGTTATCATTTAGTCATCAGACTTAGGAATTTCAGTCTACATGTACCAAAATGTGTAAAACACAGGACATTTACAGTCAATTCAATATCTTACTACAGCTCAGCTGTTATAGCCAATTGTATAATTGCAGGCATATAAGTTTGGACATCAGTATCTCAAACACTGTATTCTCATAGTTAAATACCTCAGTCAGGGTGTGTGTGACATATGTCCGGACCAGACTCTCTGTTAACTGTGGCACTAATCCTCTCCACAAACCAAGGAAACCATCCCTCTTCTTGATGTGGCCAACTAAATGACGAAACAGAAAGTGGTCAGAGACATCCTGTGATATACCTTTCATGTTCTACATGTAACTCTCAGTGCAGTTGGCTAGATCAATCTTAAATAATGCTATATATCCGATAAACATTATTTAAAAGTGAAAAGGCATTGTGTGACAAATTATAAAATAAATACATTCACATGATTAACTTGCTCTATCTATTTTACTTACTGTATTTGAAAATGTTTGGATAGTACCATCTCTCCTTGCGTGTTAGTAGTTCTTTGGATAAAGATGGAATCAAAGGTTCATGGCCGAGCTAGAAAAATGTTCTCAAGAATATATTTCAGAAATCTAAATATATATATAACTTTTATCATGTTTATAAGCTACATAAATGTTGTACCACATATATTCTTTACTTAAGGGTTGAAAAAAAGACTCAAAATTAACAATGTGAGAATGTAAAGACTAATATATAATAATTGAGCTATGGTGAAAGCAAGTAAGTTTGTGGGAAGGAGGTTGAATATAAAGGAACAAAGAAGCTATTACTGAGTGTGAAAAAAATGGGTAGTAAAACCCCAAAATTTCAAAACTGAAATTCTGGCTTTCACTAATTACTGAAAAATACCTGATTCTCGATCATGAAAATCACAATTGTAATCAAATTTAACACAATGTGTCTTTGCTAAGTATTAACACCAAATATTACTCTTTTCAATGATTATTAAGGATTGTCATTTTCCCAGTGACTGAAATGGGTAGTGAACCTGGTTTCTTGACAAATAATGTTATATAATTTTAGTAATGAGCAAAAACCCACTTTTCAATTTCAAAATTCCCGGCCCCGGTTTTACTACCCATTTTAGTCAAACTAGCTATTACTCTTGCTTTGTACCCCCACATCTTGCAAAATTTTCCCTGTAGCAATCTTGCTTCCTCCTATCTGCACACATGCAGAATTTGGTTTTAGTCTTTGACCATAATGCTACAGAGTACAGATCCTACAATGAAAACAATGTGCAATTTATGGGGCAAGATTTTCTGAAAAATTCTGCAGCTAGCTTCCTTTCCATGTAACCCTTGCATCCTCACTAGATTACTTTGTTGACGCAGATGTTTAAAAAGCCTATCACTGGCCCTGTATCACAGCACCAAATCATGAGGTTCTTCTGATCAGTCTGTGAAATGTGGAAACTAAATTTATGTGTAATGGTTTGGGCCGTGGATATCGGCCTGGATAGCTCAGTTGGTAGAGCACCTGACTGGAGATACAGGGGTCCCGGGTTCGATTCCCCGTACAGCAATACATTTTCTCCTTTCCTGTTACAGATTTGGTGCCGTTGACCACCCCTGGACTTGCAGGTGAAAGTCCTGCCAGGGGCAATAAGAACTTGGGTTATGTCTTCGAGGGCGAAGACCATTTAAGGAGGGAGGAATGTAATGGTTTGGGCTGTGGATATCGGCCTGGATAGCTCAGTTGGTAGAGCACCTGACTGGAGATACAGGGGTCCCAGGTTCGATTCCCGGTCCAGCCATACATTTTCTCCTTTCCTGTTACATATACATGACTAGTATCTTCTTCAATCTTGATTTTCTTTTTAAAAGTAAATTATCTAATGCGACTAAGATAACATCTTAAAATTTTATTGAAATGTTAATCAATCTCCATTAGTGGCATGAGAGGGTTGAGTCGATGGAACGTATCCCTAAAGCTCCTTTGGCTTAGCATGCTTAGGCTATTTTCGGTGGATAATCCGATACATTTGGAATATTTTAGCCTGGATAAATACAAGGACATCATTTGCGCTGGTGCATTTGGGGATTTGTGTAACTTTTCTCAAGTAAGTTGTTTTTTGACTTTGTTTACAAATCGTGTGCTACTTTCGATTCTTCCCTTGTGTATTTTTATATGTAAAGTAGAGAACAGAGTGGATAAGATGCCCCTGTGCAAAGACCCGGGTACTAGATACAACTTTCTATCGTTAAAATGATATTGCCCTACGGACCCGGTTTAACGATAGAATTCGTTCCGTGTATTCGTAATGTAGCAAAAGAAACATGGGCGATAACTCGTACACACTATAACTCAGTGCATTTACTACGAACAATCTAGAGAGTTCTGAATGTAAACATGGCAGGTAAATTTGAAGCCAGAAAAAACGTTGAGAAAATTAATTGGATTTTCGTCTTTAGATGGATTATTTTCTGGGATAAAAGGCATAAGCAATCTCAAAAAGGTGTGTTTTGATTAATTTGGTAGTTATTTCCAGTGCAAATCCTTTTTATATTCTTCAAAATCGTTTCGGAGTGGATCTGCTCTGATTTGCTACATTGCAAGTATATGGGACGTATTCTAACTGTGGTGAGGGCTTGTACCGAGACACAGTTAGATCATTCTAACTACCCGGGTACATGTACCTGTGGAGAAAATTGGGGTATGATTGAAATTTCTTGGATTAAATAGACGCTTCCATGTTGAAATTATGTACAGCGATTACTCAGTGTACATATTGTGAAATATTACCTGAATTAGCACTTTGGCGTAGCCCAAGGGGTGCGATATTGTGGTGATGAAAGCTCCAGCGGCATACGAGATGACATTCGCCATTTTCGGTACTTATTAATTCGAATAGAAAGGATTCGTGTCAATAAACATGCGAGTCTGAAGAGCCATACTCTGGCAAAAAAATATGCTTTGGTTTTATTCTTAAAATTTAAAATTAATTTTAAATGTCAATAAATTACTGTACGAACAAAATCCAATAAATTCTTACAATTTATTTATGGTACAACTTAGTTCATATTCCTTTCAAAACGCAATGAAGATTCAAAAGTTAAAGCGTCAAAATCATGTCTTTCTCGAAACAAATTAAAAAACTTTTTACTTCAGCCTTAATCAGTAAGTATTGCGTTGATATTTTGCAAGAAAAATTGAGAGTGATAATTGAAAATAGTTATTCTGTGTATGCATTTCAAGAACTAGTCCTATCATCAACATTAATCATTTAGCTCGAATTACCTCCACAGTTGGATCACGTTTATCAAATGAAATCCAGTCAAAGCGCCCCCTAATAAAACCGTCCCGGTCAAAGCGTCCCCTGATTTTGGTCAAAGTGTCCCCTGATTCTGGTCAAAATGTCCCCTGATTTTGGTCAAAATGTCCCCTGTTTTGGTCAAAGCGCCCCTGATAGAATTTTACTGTAAAATGATGTTACAAAACCGCCCCCAAATATTGGCCAAAGCGTCCACTGATTTTGGTCAAAATGTCCCCTGATTTTGGTCAAAGCGCCCCTTATAGAATTTTACAGTAAAATGATGTTTACAAAACCGCCCCCAAATATTGGTCAAAGCGTCCCCTGATTTTGGTCAAGGCGCCCCCTGATATATTTTTACAAACATATAACGGAATAAAACTGTTTTGTATTTATAATATTATCATTGTGTGGCAGTTACTTGAAAAATTTCTATAAGGGGGTGCTTTGACCAAAATCAGGGGACGTTTAGACCATTGCTTGGGGATCGACTCGAAACGGGTTTTTTTTCCTGTAAAAATATATAGGGGGCGCTTTGACCAAAACCAGGGGACGTTTTGACTAATATCAAGGGACGCTTTGACCAATATTTGGGGGCGGAATTTTTTCTATAAAAATATGTTGGGGGCGCTTTGATCAAAATTAGGGGGCGCTTTGACTAAAATCAGGGGACGCTTTGAACAATATTTGGGGGCGGTATTTTTTCTCTAAAAATATGTTAGGGGGCGCTTTGACCAAAATTAGGGGGCGCTTTGACTAAAATCAGGGGACGCTTTGACCAATATTTGGGGGCGGTATTTTTTCTATAAAAATATGTTAGGGGGCGCTTTGACCAAAATCAGGGGACGCTTTGACTAAAATCAGGGGACGCTTTGACCAATATTTGGGGGCGGTATTTTTTCTATAAAAATGTTAGGGGGCGCTTTGACTAAAATCAGGGGACGCTTTGACTAAAATTAGGGAACGCTTTGACCGGGACGTTTTTATTAGGGGGCGCTTCGACTGGCTCCCTATCAGAAATCGGCTCCCTATCAAATATGCCTTGTTATACACTTACAGCAAATGTTGTCACCGGATGACCCCGTGTGTGTATTGTAAATGCTTACTTTCTTGTCACTTACTGATGTTCATTGGCACATGACACCGTTAATGATCACAAAATATTTGATACATAATTTTATTCACAACAGATGGGTTGGGCAGCAGGCATAGCCTATTTTAGCCGGTTCCATGTTCGTTCGCCCTAAAAATTGTTCGCCCGATTTCCCGTTCGCCCAGAGTCCACTTGCCCTAAAACTTGTTCGCACAGGGTCCATTTGCCCTAATTTAATGTAGAATAAAATCTAACGAATTTCTTTCCAAATAAATCATTTTTTGAGATCAAAGGGAGATTCTTCAAAGGTAAAACCTTCAACATTTGCTGTTCAGTTCTATAATGGACCTATTAACGTCTTAGTCCTTTTATTGTCTTCAAAACATACAATTTGTAAAAATAACACAGATGTATCCCCCTAATTAACATTGATATTAATCATATAAATCATCTAATTCAGGCACGTAGCAACAAGGGGGGCCGGGGGGCCTGCCCCCCCCCCCCCCACTTTTTTTTACCAACATTACTTTTACTATTGGAAATGTTCATTGAAATGCTGGTTCCCCCCCCCCCCACTTTATAGTACACTAAGTTAATATCAAGGAAAATGTAGTATAGAAAGAAGTTGGCATTGAAGAAAAATTGCCCCCCCCCCCACGAAATAGGATTTTCGAGTTCGGGCAATGCAGGCAATGTCTGTTTTTTTTTTTGTTTTTTTTTTCCTTGCCAAATTTTTCAGGTAAGTCAAGAAAAATTTTCTCTGGCTGCCCCCCCCCACTTTCAAAAACGATGCTGTGTGGCTGTAATTAACTATAGTGCAAACACTAAGTCATTCAAAAAACATAAGAATCAAATCAAAAATTAATTAAGACTAAATAAACATTGTTCCTCGTATCAGAATTTGAGAAATAATATCCCAAGTTCGTAAAGGAAATAAATAGAAAAAATTATATGCTATTTTTTAATTCATATGAATTTATATATACAGGTATATGTAAGTATTGGGCGAACCACATATAGGGCGAACAAGATATTGGGCAAAATATTTTGGGCGAACGGACTCTGCGCGAACAGACTCCCGCGAACAGGTAGATTGGGCGAACGAACCCGTTACCATTTTAGCCCTCTACCTAAAATATGACAAAGTATACCAGGGTGTCCCTAGATCATGTCACTTACTGGTAAATTATTATCATTATGTTAATGGCTGATGCAACCGTTAGGGCAAGTGCAGATACATTTTCAGTGTACTATTCACTGATTTTAGACTCCTCACTTACACTGCATGTGACATTTGGAACGTCTAGACTCTGATGTCACATTATGTCATATGTAAGCTGCATTACCAAATTGAAGCAAGAACAGTGTAGATATTTATATACAATATTTAATCAACTACATATCTGCAAAGTACCATTATCCTTTACATCAAGGCAAGTTTTTTTTTTTAACTTTTGTTGTTACCATGAGAACATAGTTTTTGGTGAGATGTAATTCGCTAAGTATTGTAGGTCCAGTTGAAGTTACTGTGGAAAAATTTCATTTGGCATCAATTTGCAAAGTCTGAATTTTCTCTTCGCCCTGGTGTTTTCCTTTAGAGCTTGCATTCAAGTGACACTTTGCCTGCTTGATGTGCTTGCTGTTAATTATATTTTAGTTTATACAAAGTCAGAAAATTAGTTTAGAAATATTTTGTTTTTGGGAGAGCATACGATTTTTCTACCATCTTACAATGAATAAGACAGGTGTTGTCAGTAAATACAATACAATCTTTGATCATTAAGTCAAATGTTGACTGACGTTAGGCTATTATTTACACTGAATTGTCTACAGATTTTTCTGTTTAACTGATCATGACAAGGAGCACATGGCGGGTGTGACTGGTTGACAGGGGATGCTTGCTACTCTGCGGTACCTGATCCCACCTCTGATGTTTTTTTTGAGATCTGTGTTTACTCTGCTCCCAGTTTTGTTCATGTTGTATTGTTTCCAATAAACTTTTGAGCCTGATTACTGTTTGTTGTCTCCATATCTCATCCAAAAGACTCTTCATATCCAAAAAAATGAGGAAAGGTTATCAAAGTTCATATAAAAGTGGAGTGTTTTATGTTGAACCTATATATAATTTGTAACCAGTACTTACTTCTTTTCAGCATTATATGTCTTAAAACCAAGACACGTACCTGTACCAGTGCATTTTTCCCTTTTTTTTTTTCAGACAATGTCAGGGTGTTCAGTACAAGTGAATGTCTACAGAGTAACACACTACTTCACAGAACAGTAAACAGACATCGGCGGGTTAAAAATGGCACAACAGATTACCAGAACGAAGGGGAGGATCAAACAAAGAGCAGAGAGGTGGAGGTGGTGGAATTACAGCTGGATTTAGGGGTCAAGCAGAACCAACAGAGAGAAGTGGATGCATTTAAGTGAGTGGGAGGAGACTGAGGGTCAAAGGTTGCTAGGTTAAAAGTAAACAGTCAGTGGCCTGGTTATCTTGCAGAGGGTCAAAGGTTCTTAGGTTAAAAGTAAACAGTCATTGGCCTGGTTATCACGCAGAGGGTCAAAGGTTGTTAGGTTTAAAGTAAACAGTCATTGGCCTGGTTATCACGCAGAGGGTCAAAGGTTGTTAGGTTAAAAGTAAACAGTCAGTGGCCTGGTTATAATGCAGGACCTGCCAATTAGATCAAAATTCAATTACCTGTTATGTATTTTTATTTTCCCACCAAATGAATAATCATGAGAGAAAATGTCAAAACATAACTCTATTAGTTATTTATTTTTGTCCTTCTTGTGTCAACCTGGGAATGCTTGCATCCTTTAAAAAATGTGTTGTACAGTTGTTTATATTTGGGATGGATGGTGTTATGGGTCAGAATAACCCTAAATGCCAGCAAAGATCAATCACACAGTTTAAACTTAACAATAATTTATTTACAGTAATATACAAATCATTTAAAAGTACAAACTTAGCAAAAATCTAAAAATACATACATCAGAGTGTCCGTGGCTGCACACAATGTCCCAGTGAAATTATATCCCAGTAATACCTCAATGATGCTTATACGACAATGTATATCTATGCATCGAATTGACAGGGTATTTATACAGTATTATAAATCTAGAATATTCTAGAAGTTGTAAGTACATGATATTCCTGGAAAGTTCTAGACATACACAAAGTTCAAGAATGTTCTAGAAAAAATGACCAAACATATTGACCACTCTGGAATGTTCAAGAAACTTAATGTTACTAATAATAGACATGATGAAACAATACAAATACAACACACCTCACAACACCTCCCCCCTTAAAAAGTTTGAATGTCAATGAAAAACTTAAATTGTAAAACATATGTACATTAATACAAAATCATATATGTTCACGATACTCTGGACAAGGCATCTGCAATAACATTTTCTTTGCCTTTGATATGCTTAATTGTTATGTTGTATTCTTGTAACAACAAACTCCATCTAGTC